CACCGGCGAGCGGTCTGGGGAGGGAAGGCCGAGCAGGCGGAGAGCGGAGACCGGCGGCGACGGCTGCTGCGACGGCTGGGCCAGAACCATCGGACCAGTAGAGGCAGAACGACCGTCGACGGAACCCTCAACAGCAGCACCCCCAGAACCAACACCCCCAGAGCGAGAACCCTCTCCAACACCAGCGGCACCCCCAGGGGCCAAGAGCGGCGGCAGCGGCAGCGACGCCGGCGGCTGCGGCGGAGGCGGCGACTGCGACATGGGAGGCGAGGATACCGGGGAAAAGGGACGCGGCAAGGACGGGGCGGGGGTACCACCAGAGTCTGCGGACTCCTCAACGGGGACAACCGACGGGCGGGGAGTGACGTGAGAGACACCAGACGGGGCAGGACGAGGCGGGAGGGGAGCAGGGGCTACCGGGGGAGAGGGAGCAAGGAACAAGGGCGGGGCAACCGGGAAACCTCGGTGAGGGAAGCGGCGGTAGAAGGAGACAGACTCGTCAAAGGTGACGTCACGAGAGTGGAGGAAGCGGTGAGACGGCGGGTGGTAGAAAAGCCAGTCAGACGAGTCGAGGGGGAAACCGAGGTAGACACAGGGGACAATGCGGGCAGTGAGCTTGTCCGTACCAGAGGCACGAACGTGAGCAAGGCAGCCCCAGACGTGGAACCCAGACGCGTCACCAGGGGACCCGGTCCAAAGGAGGGTCGGCGAAACCTGCGGCCGCTGGGAGCGGGGCCACAGGTTAAGCTGGTGAGCAGTGTAGCAAACAGCGAACGGCCATAGAAAATGGGGGGCATCGGCATGAATCATGGAGGTACGAGCAACCTCCATGACCAAGCCGATGCGGCGCTCAGCAACCCCATTCTACTGTGGCGAGTCCGGCAAGGTATACAACTGGGTGATGCCCTCCGCACGACAGAACTGTCCAAGCCGACCAGAAGCGAACTCGCCGCCACGGTCAGAGTGGAGACACAACACGGGGAGACCGCGGTGAAGACGCGCAGCCACAACCCACGGGAGAAGAACGTCGGGCACATCGGCCTTCCGCTCCAAGGGAAACACTGTGGTGTAGCGCGTGTAGTCGTCGACGAGCACAAAGAAGTAGCGCTCACCGCGCGGTCCGGGGACGGGGGCAGGGCCCCAAACGTCCAGGTGCAGGGTCTGAAGGGGGGCAGTAGCCGGGCGCAGCGAGGAGGAGTGTGGAGCACGGCGGAGCCGGCCCTCGATGCAAGGTGTGCACGGTGGCGCAGTCGAGGGAGGAAGGGCAGGGAGCGATGCAGGGAGGCCTAACACAAGACCGTGCTGAGACATGTGACGCAGACGTGGGAGAGCAGGGTGACCTAGGCGGTGGTGCCAGAGAAGGGACGGGTGAGTGAGGGACCGACACGAGCAAGCTGCAGCGACCTGGGAGGACGCACCAGCCGGGGGGGAAGCGGTGTCGAGGGTAAACTGACCGGACACCGGGTCCTGGGGGAACGTCGCAAGGGGGGAACCTGAGACAGCCTCAGAACAGACAGCGAACCGCTCGTGCCCGGGGAACGTGGTGGTGACGCCGAGGTCCTGGAGACAGCCGACACTAACCAGGTTCCTCGAGAACGAGGGAACGTGGAGGCCTGTAAGGGAGCCCGAGGGAACTGCTAGACAGGGAAGGGACGTAGAACTGCGAGCGACGACAGGACCCGCAGAGGGGTCAGCAAGAGAGACGACAACAGGCGTAGCAAGCGGCGTGAGCGCGGAATGGTCGCGGAAGAAACAGGCAGAAGCACCGGAGTCGAGAGTGAAGGACAGCGCAGCAGTGGCGGGGGCCGGGAACGGAGCCAGTGCAGAGACGAGGCTAGAAAAACAAGGCAGTCCTACGCCTGACGCAGCAGGGGAGGCGAAGCTACACAACGGTGCAACACCTAAACTAGAGAACACAGGGTAATAAGATCCAGCAACACTAGCAGCGTCAGAATACAAGGCATGCAAAGCAGCACCTATCTGATCCATGTCTAACTCAAAGATCGGCACGCCCTGGCGGAGCAGGCTGTGCCAGTCAGGGAGGTCCGGGGCCGGGCCAAAGCGACAACGAAACAGATCGTCGAGGCGGCGGAAACAGCGGGCAGTCGGGTGCGGGCGGCGGCACAGAGTGCCGCGAAGGGGCCCGGTCTGAAGCTGGTACTGGCAGGTCACAGCACCGGAGCCACTGGTAGACGCCAAGCTGTGCGGGCCGCCACCACGGCCACCACCTCCGGAGGTGCTGGGCCAACCAGGCGGGAGGCGAGCCCACTGCTGCGGGGGCTGCGGCTGGGACGGCGGCTGCTCCTGAGACGGCGGCTGCTTCGTGGGCTGCTCCTGCTGCGGCTGGGGCTGCTGCTCCTGACCACCAATGCTAGTCCCCCCAGGCAGACTACTGTCCCAACCACCACCACCACTACCTGCGCCACCACCCCTACCACCCTGGCGACCACGGCCACCGCGGCGCGAGCGCTGCTGCGGGTGGACCGCAGCAGCCGTCTCGATGAGGGAGGGCGCCGTGGCGACCGCAGCCGAAACGTCAGTGAACGTGCACTGGGAGGGGGCACAGCCGTGAAAGATAGAGACTACCGGCGCACCGCTCGACTGAGCGATAGTGCGCTGGCGAGTCTCAATCTTGGTGAGGGTGTCGACAAAGGCAGTGAGGGTGAGGTCGGCCGGGTGCAGACTAAGGAAGTGATCGCGAGCACTAGCGAGGCGGTCTGGCAGGCGCATGGCGATAAAATAGAGCGTCGTGCAGAAAGGGGGGGGGAGCGCAGTGAGCTGGGCAGCAGTGCTGGCAGTGCGATAGCGGGTCTCTAGGGCACGAAGGTGAGCGGCAAAGTCTGCGACAGTAGGGAAGGCTGCAAGGTTTGGGAACAGCATCAAGAAAAGCAAGCGGCCAGCAGAAGCAGACGCGGGTGTGGAATAGCGGGCAATAACTGCGTCTAAGTAAGCTTTGGCCGTATCAACAGTGGCAAAGCGCGAGCGCTCAGAGACAGGGAGTGCGTGGCTAATAGCAACCTAAGCGACTGCATCGCGGGAGTCCCAGACAGCGCAGGCAAGTGCAGCAGTAGAGAAGGCCTCACGGTCATCAGAGGAGAGGTCAACAGGGAGGGGAGCAGGTGCAGGGGGGCGGGGGAGCAAACCGTCGACATGGACAACCAAAGAGTGGCCATCCTGGCGCTGACCTGTAAGGTGGCAGCGGAGGTCAGAGAGCCACGCGGCGAAGTCAACCGCGTGACCCTCGGCGTCCAGTCGGAGTACGAAATCAGCCATCGTGCAGGGTCAGCGGCACAGCTCCACTGCGCCACAGGAACACAGCTCCGCAGGAACACAACGGCAGCGCCCTCCAGCACGGTGGCCACAAAGGCGCCCCAGCACGGGCGAGCAGGCACGAAGAGGGGCCGGACTGTCAGTCAGGGAGGCCAAGCAGGCACGGCGGGGCCAGGAGGTGCGGCAGGGCCAGGAGGCGCGTCAGGGCCAGGCAGGCACGGCGGGGCCAGGCAGGTGCGGCAGGGCCAGGAGGTGCGGCAGGGCTAGGAGCCAGGCAGGCGCGGCGGGGCCAGGCAGGCGCGGCGGGGCCAGGCAGGCGCGGCGGGGCCAGGCAGGCGCGGCGGGGCCAGGCAGGGGCGGCGGGGCCAGGAGGCGCGGCAGGGCCAGGCAGGCGCGGCGGGCCAGGCAGGGGCGGCGGGGCCAGGAGGCGCGGGAGGGCCAGGTAGGCGCGGTGGGCCAGGCAGGGGCGGCGGGGCCAGGAGGCGCGGCAAGGCCAGGCAGGCGCGGCGGGGCCAGGCAGGCGCGGCGGGGCTAGGAGGCGCGGCAGGGCCAGGCAGGCGCGGCGGGGCCAGGCAGGTGCGACGGGTGCTAGGAGGCACGAGGGGCCCAGGAGGGGCGCGACAGGCTAGGAGGCGCGACTGGGGCCAAGGAGGGGCGCGACGGGCCAGGAGGCGCTACAGGGGCCCAGGAGGGGCACGGCGGGCTAGGAGGCACACAGGGCCCAAGAGAGGCGCGACGGGGCCTAGGAGGCACGAGAGGCCCAGGAGGGGCACGACGGGCTAGGAGGCGCGGCAGGGGCCCAGGAGGGGCGCAACGGGGCCTAGGAGGCACGAGGGGCCCAGGAGGGGCACGACGGGCTAGGAGGCGCGGCAGGGGCCCAGGAGGGGCGCGACGAGCTAGGAGGCGCGACAGGGGCCCAGGAGGGGCGCGACAGGCTAGGAGGCGCGACTGGGGGCCCAGGAGGGGCGCGACGAGGCCTAGGTGGGGGCGCGACGGGGCCTAGGTGGGGGTGCGACGTGGCCTAGGTGGGGGCGCGACGGGGCCTAGGAGGCACGGGCGGAAGCAGTAGGTGGGGGGGTTGAACCTACGGGTGATACCATGTCGAGATGAAAACTGAACAAGTTTTTTGGTAGAGACAGATTACAAGGGTATATACCTAAGAATGTTGTACCCTCTAAGAGGTGACCCTATGCAGTCTATACAAACATGAATTATACATATGTTTGACAGTAATGTATTCGCACGTTTACGCATCGAAATTGTTTAACGCGCGGGGAATTACTTTTTACTCGTAGCTCTGTTTCTTGCCCTCGGGACTTTCATACTGCCAAGCTTGTCGAGGGTTCGGCTCGAGCCAGCTTGGCCAACTCAGACAGTTCAGCAATTGCTTCCTTGTAACAGATGCTCAAGATGATGTATTTTGAGCTGAACTGACTGGCAACCTGCCGGTCGAGCTTGCCATCTAAAACTATATAAATGGTTTTATGTTCATGGTTTTAGAAAGCATTGTGCAAATGCTATTCGTGGTATATGAGGTGATATATCAAAATATGGTACATCAATACTCTACATTTTGGCGAATTCACAAATTGTAGGGGTTGTGTAGAAGATCAATCTACACAATGTATGAGTGCAAATGGGTTATTGTTTCTGATATTTGAACAGTGCCACGACGCACCCGTGTATAAGAACCCACGGAAGTTGGAACAGACTGATTTGGGTTTGGTAGAACTTCCTCATAACCCAGCACTGTACATTCTTGAAGTGCTGAGAGGGCCGCGTGATACAGCGCCGGGATTTCAGGCCCCTGTTACGACTGAAAGGCCAGCGGAGTTGTCAAATCAACGGACTGCGCCGGCTTGCCGAGACCGTCGTGGCGTAATGACAGCCCTTCAGCTCGGAGCGCTGCTCCTGCTGACGTGCCTTGCGGTCCCACGAGTCGTCTGCGTTCCCCTCGCCAACTCCCAGGGTGTGTGCTCGATGAATGTGCTCTGTTTGGCTCGCTACCGCTTTTTCAAGGGCCGGTTCCCGCCAGTGACGGCTTCCGCTCGCGCCCTTTTCGACCGCGCGGACGCATTGACCGTGTTAGACCACGTTTGGCCTTAGCAGCTCCACTATCATACCACGAGCTCCCCACGTGCCTCCACCGTTCCCTGCATGTGGGATGAAGGGCGCGCGGTACTAGCAGGGTAGCGCGGTGAGCGGCGTGAGTAAGGAGAGGCAGGGTCGAGAGAGGTCGGAGAAAGGGATAGTGGGTGATGCGATGATAGGCTGGGCAGGAGGGCTGGGAGACGCCGTGGGAGAGCAGATGTGGTTGAGGGGGAGGAGAGAGGGGACATGGGGGAGGAGACATGGGAGAGGAGACATGGGGGAGGAGACATGGGAGAGGAGACATGGGGGAGGAGACATGGGAAAGGAGACATGGGGGAGGAGACATGGGAGAGGAGACATGGGAGAGGAGACATGGGGGAGGAGACATGGGAGAGGAGACATGGGGGAGGAGACATGGGAGAGGAGACATGGGGGAGGAGACATGGGAGAGGAGACATGGGAGAGGAGACATGGGAGAGGAGACATGGGAGAGGAGACATGAGAGGAGAGGAGACATGGGAGAGGAGACATGGGAGAGGAGACATGGGAGAGAAGAGATGGGAGAGGAGAGATGGGAGAGGAGACATGGGAGCGGAGACATGGGAGAGGAGACATGGGAGAGGAGACATGGGAGAGGAGACATGGGAGAGGAGACATGGGAGAGGAGACATGGGAGAGGAGACATGAGAGGAGAGGAGACATGGGAGAGGAGACATGGGAGAGGAGACATGGGAGAGGAGACATGGGAGAGGAGACATGCGGGAGGAGACATGGGAGAGGAGACATGGGGGAGAAGACATGGGAGAGGAGACATGGGAGAGGAGACATGGGGGAGGAGACATGGGAGAGGAGACATGGGAGAGGAGACATGGGGGAGGAGACCTGGGAGAGGAGACATGGGAGAGGAGACATGGGAGAGGAGATATGGGAGAGGAGACATGGGAGAGGAGACATGGGAGAGGAGACATGGGAGAGGAGACATGGGGGAGGAGACATGGGAGAGTAGACATGGGGGAGGAGACATGGGAGAGGAGACATGGGGGAGGAGACATGGGAGAGGAGACATGGGGGAGGAGACATGGGAGAGGAGACATGGGGGAGAAGACATGGGACAGGAGACATGGGAGAGGAGACATGGGAGAGGAGACATGGGAGAGGAGACATGGGAGAGGAGACATGGGAGTGGAGACACGGGAGAGGAGGCATGGGGGAGGAGACATGGGAGAGGAGACATGGGGGAGGAGACATGGGAGAGGAGACATGGGAGAGGAGACATGGGGGAGGAGACATGGGAGAGGAGATATGGGAGAGGAGACATGGGAGAGGAGACATGGGAGAGGAGAGATGGGAGAGGAGAGATGGGAGAGGAGAGATGGGAGAGGAGACATGGGGAAGGAGACATGGGAGAGGAGACATGGGAGAGGAGACATGGGAGAGGAGAGATGGGAGAGGAGAGATGGGAGAGGAGACATGGGAGAGGAGACATGGGAGAGGAGACATGGGAGAGGAGACATGGGAGAGGAGACATGGGAGAGGAGACATGGGAGAGGAGACATGGGAGAGGAGACATGAGAGGAGAGGAGACATGGGAGAGGAGACATGGGAGAGGAGACATGGGAGAGGAGACATGGGAGAGAAGAGATGGGAGAGGAGAGATGGGAGAGGAGACATGGGGAAGGAGACATGGGAGAGGAGACATGGGAGAGGAGAGATGGGAGAGGAGAGATGGGAGAGGAGAGATGGGAGAGGAGACATGGGAGAGGAGACATGGGAGAGGAGACATGGGAGAGGAGACATGGGAGAGGAGACATGGGAGAGGAGACATGGGAGAGGAGACATGGGAGAGGAGACATGAGAGGAGAGGAGACATGGGAGAGGAGACATGGGAGAGGAGACATGGGAGAGAAGAGATGGGAGAGGAGAGATGGGAGAGGAGACATGGGAGCGGAGACATGGGAGAGGAGACATGGGAGAGGAGACATGGGAGAGGAGACATGGGAGAGGAGACATGGGAGAGGAGACATGGGAGAGGAGACATGAGAGGAGAGGAGACATGGGAGAGGAGACATGGGAGAGGAGACATGGGAGAGGAGACATGGGAGAGGAGACATGCGGGAGGAGACATGGGAGAGGAGACATGGGGGAGAAGACATGGGAGAGGAGACATGGGAGAGGAGACATGGGGGAGGAGACATGGGAGAGGAGACATGGGAGAGGAGACATGGGGGAGGAGACCTGGGAGAGGAGACATGGGAGAGGAGACATGGGAGAGGAGACATGGGAGAGGAGACATGGGAGAGGAGACATGGGAGAGGAGACATGGGAGAGGAGACATGGGGGAGGAGACATGGGAGAGGAGACATGGGGGAGGAGACATGGGAGAGGAGACATGGGGGAGGAGACATGGGAGAGGAGACATGGGGGAGGAGACATGGGAGAGGAGACATGGGGGAGAAGACATGGGACAGGAGACATGGGAGAGGAGACATGGGGTTGGAGACATGGGAGAGGAGACATGGGGAAGCAGACATGGGAGAGGATACATGGGGGAGGAGACATGGGAGAGGAGACATGGGGGAGGAGACATGGGAGAGGAGACATGGGGGAGGAGACATGGGAGAGGAGACATGGGGGAGAAGACATGGGAGAGGAGACATGGGAGAGGAGACATGGGGGAGGAGACATGGGAGAGGAGACATGGGGAAGGAGACATGGGAGAGGAGACATGGGGGAGGGGGACATGGGGGAGGAGACATGGGAGAGGAGACATGGGGGAGGAGACATGGGAGAGGAGACATGGGGGAGGAGACATGGGAGAGGAGACATGGGGGAGAAGACATGGGAGAGGAGACATGGGAGAGGAGACATGGGGGAGGAGACATGGGAGAGGAGACATGGGGAAGGAGACATGGGAGAGGAGACATGGGGGAGGAGACATGGGAGAGGAGACATGGGGGAGGAGACATGGGAGAGGAGACATGGGGGAGGAGACATGGGAGAGGAGACATGGGGGAGGAGACATGGGAGAGGAGACATGGGGGAGAAGACATGGGACAGGAGACATGGGAGAGGAGACATGGGGGAGGAGACATGGGAGAGGAGACATGGGGAAGGAGACATGGGAGAGGAGACATGGGGGAGGAGACATGGGAGAGGAGACATGGGGGAGGAGACATGGGAGAGGAGACATGGGGGAGGAGACATGGGAGAGGAGAGATGGGAGAGGAGAGATGGGAGAGGAGACATGGGAGAGGAGACATGGGAGAGGAGACATGGGAGAGGAGACATGGGAGAGGAGACATGGGAGAGGAGACATGGGAGAGGAGACATGGGAGAGGAGACATGAGAGGAGAGGAGACATGGGAGAGGAGACATGGGAGAGGAGACATGGGAGAGGAGACATGGGAGAGGAGACATGCGGGAGGAGACATGGGAGAGGAGACATGGGGGAGAAGACATGGGAGAGGAGACATGGGAGAGGAGACATGGGGGAGGAGACATGGGAGAGGAGACATGGGAGAGGAGACATGGGGGAGGAGACCTGGGAGAGGAGACATGGGAGAGGAGACATGGGAGAGGAGACATGGGAGAGGAGACATGGGAGAGGAGACATGGGAGAGGAGACATGGGAGAGGAGACATGGGGGAGGAGACATGGGAGAGGAGACATGGGGGAGGAGACATGGGAGAGGAGACATGGGGGAGGAGACATGGGAGAGGAGACATGGGGGAGGAGACATGGGAGAGGAGACATGGGGGAGAAGACATGGGACAGGAGACATGGGAGAGGAGACATGGGGGAGGAGACATGGGAGAGAAGACATGGGGAAGGAGACATGGGAGAGGAGACATGGGGGAGGAGACATGGGAGAGGAGACATGGGGGAGGAGACATGGGAGAGGAGACATGGGGGAGGAGACATGGGAGAGGAGACATGGGGGAGAAGACATGGGAGAGGAGACATGGGAGAGGAGACATGGGGGAGGAGACATGGGAGAGGAGACATGGGGAAGGAGACATGGGAGAGGAGACATGGGGGAGGAGACATGGGAGAGGAGACATGGGGGAGGAGACATGGGAGAGGAGACATGGGGGAGGAGACATGGGAGAGGAGACATGGGGGAGGAGACATGGGTGAGGAGACATGGGGGAGAGACATGGGGAGGAGACATGGGAGAGGAGACATGGGGAGGAGACATGGGAGAGGAGACATGGGGGAAGGAAGACATGGGAGAGGAGACATGGGGGAGGAGACATGGGAGAGGAGACATGGGGGAGGAGACATGGGAGAGGAGACATGGGGGAGGAGACATGGGAGAGGAGACATGGGAGAGGAGACATGGGAGAGGAGACATGGGAGAGGAGACATGGGAGAGGAGACATGGGAGAGGAGACATGAGAGGAGAGGAGACATGGGAGAGGAGACATGGGAGAGGAGACATGGGAGAGGAGACATGGGAGAGAAGAGATGGGAGAGGAGAGATGGGAGAGGAGACATGGGAGCGGAGACATGGGAGAGGAGACATGGGAGAGGAGACATGGGAGAGGACACATGGGAGAGGAGACATGGGAGAGGAGACATGGGAGAGGAGACATGAGAGGAGAGGAGACATGGGAGAGGAGACATGGGAGAGGAGACATGGGGGAGAAGACATGGGAGAGGAGACATGGGGGAGGAGACATGGGAGAGGAGACATGGGGGAGGAGACATGGGAGAGGAGACATGGGGGAGGAGACATGGGAGAGGAGACATGGGGGAGAAGACATGGGACAGGAGACATGGGAGAGGAGACATGGGGGAGGAGACATGGGAGAGGAGACATGGGGAAGGAGACATGGGAGAGGAGACATGGGGAGGAGACATGGGAGAGGAGACATGGGGGAGGAGACATGGGAGAGGAGACATGGGGAGGAGACATGGGAGAGGAGAGATGGGAGAGGAGAGATGGGAGAGGAGACATGGGAGAGGAGACATGGGAGAGGAGACATGGGAGAGGAGACATGGGAGAGGAGACATGGGAGAGGAGACATGGGAGGGAGACATGGGAGAGGAGCATGAGAGGGAGGAGACATGGGAGAGGAGACATGGGAGAGGAGACATGGGAGAGGAGACATGGGAGAGGAGACATGGGGGAGGAGACATGGGAGAGGAGACATGGGAGAGGAGACATGGGAGAGGAGACATGGGAGAGAGACATGGGGAGGAGACATGGGAGAGGAGACATGGGAGAGGAGACATTGGGAGAGGAGACATGGGAGAGGAGACATGGGAGGGATGGGAGAGGAGACATGGAGAGGAGACATGGGAGAGGAGACATGGGAGGAGAAGAGGAACATGGGGGAGGAGACATGGAGGAGAGGAGACATGGGGGAGGAGAATGGAGAGAGACATGGGGAGGAGACATGGGAGAGGAGACATGGGGGAGAAGACATGGGACAGGAGACATGGGAGAGGAGACATGGGGGAGGAGACATGGGAGAGAAGACATGGGGAAGGAGACATGGGAGAGGAGACATGGGGGAGGAGACATGGGAGAGGAGACATGGGGGAGGAGACATGGGAGAGGAGACATGGGGGAGGAGACATGGGAAGAGGAGACATGGGGGAGAAGACATGGGAGAGGAGACATGGGAGAGGAGACATGGGGAGGAGACATGGGAGAGGAGACATGGGGAAGGAGACATGGGAGAGGAGACATGGGGGAGGAGACATGGGAGAGGAGACATGGGGGAGGAGACATGGGAGAGGAAGACATGGGGGAGGAGACATGGGAGAGGAGACATGGGGGAGGAGACATGGGTGAGGAGACATGGGGGAGAAGACATGGGAGAGGAGACATGGGAGAGGAGACATGGGGGAGGAGACATGGGAGAGGAGACATGGGGAAGGAGACATGGGAGAGGAGACATGGGGGAGGAGACATGGGAGAGGAGACATGGGGGAGGAGACATGGGAGAGGAGACATGGGGGAGGAGACATGGGAGAGGAGACATGGGAGAGGAGACATGGGAGAGGAGACATGGGAGAGGAGACATGGGAGAGGAGACATGGGAGAGGAGACATGAGAGGAGAGGAGACATGGGAGAGGAGACATGGGAGAGGAGACATGGGAGAGGAGACATGGGAGAGAAGAGATGGGAGAGGAGAGATGGGAGAGGAGACATGGGAGCGGAGACATGGGAGAGGAGACATGGGAGAGGAGACATGGGAGAGGACACATGGGAGAGGAGACATGGGAGAGGAGACATGGGAGAGGAGACATGAGAGGAGAGGAGACATGGGAGAGGAGACATGGGAGAGGAGACATGGGGGAGAAGACATGGGAGAGGAGACATGGGAGAGGAGACATGGGGGAGGAGACATGGGAGAGGAGACATGGGAGAGGAGACATGGGGGAGGAGACCTGGGAGAGGAGACATGGGAGAGGAGACATGGGAGAGGAGACATGGGAGAGGAGACATGGGAGAGGAGACATGGGGGAGAAGACATGGGAGAGGAGACATGGGAGAGGAGACATGGGGGAGGAGACATGGGAGAGGGACATGGGAGAGGAGACATGGGGGAGGAGACTGGGAGAGGAGACATGGGAGAGGAGACATAGAGGGGAGAGGAGACATGGGAGACATGGGAGAGGAGACATGGGAGAGGAGACATGGGGGAGGAGACATGGGAGAGGAGACATGGGGGAGGAGACATGGGAGAGGAGACATGGGGAGGAGACATGGGAGAGGAGACATGGGGGAGGAGACATGGGAGAGGAGACATGGGGGAAGACATGGGACAGGAGACATGGGAGAGGAGACATGGGGGAGGAGACATGGGAGAGAAGACATGGGGAAGGAGACATGGGAGAGGAGACATGGGGGAGGAGACATGGGAGAGGAGACATGGGGGAGGAGACATGGGAGAGGAGACATGGGGGAGGAGACATGGGAGAGGAGACATGGGGGAGAAGACATGGGAGAGGAGACATGGGAGAGGAGACATGGGGGAGGAGACATGGGAGAGGAGACATGGGGAAGGAGACATGGGAGAGGAGACATGGGGGAGGAGACATGGGAGAGGAGACATGGGGGAGGAGACATGGGAGAGGAGACATGGGGGAGGAGACATGGGAGAGGAGACATGGGGGAGGAGACATGGGTGAGGAGACATGGGGGAGAAGACATGGGAGAGGAGACATGGAGAGGAGACATGGGGAGGAGACATGGGAGAGAGACATGGGGAAGGAGACATGGGAGAGGAGACATGGGGGAGGAGACATGGGAGAGGAGACATGGGGGAGGAGACATGGGAGAGGAGACATGGGGGAGGAGACATGGGAGAGGAGACATGGGAGAGGAGACATGGGAGAGGAGACATGGGAGAGGAGACATGGGAGAGGAGACATGGGAGAGGAGACATGAGAAGGGAGGAGACATGGGAGAGGAGACATGGGAGAGGAGACATGGGAGAGGAGACATGGGAGAGAAGAGATGGGAGAGGAGAGATGGGAGAGGAGACATGGGAGCGGAGACATGGGAGAGGAGACATGGGAGAGGAGACATGGGAGAGGACACATGGGAGAGGAGACATGGGAGAGGAGACATGGGAGAGGAGACATGGGAGAGGAGACATGGGAGAGGAGACATGGGAGAGGAGACATGGGAGAGGAGACATGGGGGAGGAGACATGGGGGAGGAGACATGGGAGAGGAGACATGGGGGAGGAGACATGGGAGAGGAGACATGGGGGAGGAGACATGGGAGAGGAGACATGGGGGAGGAGACATGGGTGAGGAGACATGGGGGAGAAGACATGGGAGAGGAGACATGGGAGAGGAGACATGGGGGAGGAGACATGGGAGAGGAGACATGGGGAAGGAGACATGGGAGAGGAGACATGGGGGAGGAGACATGGGGGAGGAGACATGGGAGAGGAGACATGGGGGAGGAGACATGGGAGAGGAGACATGGGGGAGGAGACATGGGAGAGGAGACATGGGGGAGGAGACATGGGTGAGGAGACATGGGGGAGAAGACATGGGAGAGGAGACATGGGAGAGGAGACATGGGGGAGGAGACATGGGAGAGGAGACATGGGGAAGGAGACATGGGAGAGGAGACATGGGGGAGGAGACATGGGAGAGGAGACATGGGGGAGGAGACATGGGAGAGGAGACATGGGGGAGGAGACATGGGAGAGGAGACATGGGAGAGGAGACATGGGAGAGGAGACATGGGAGAGGAGACATGGGAGAGGAGACATGGGAGAGGAGACATGAGAGGAGAGGAGACATGGGAGAGGAGACATGGGAGAGGAGACATGGGAGAGGAGACATGGAGAGAAGAGATGGGAAGGAGAGATGGGAGAGGAGACATGGAGCGGAGACATGGGAGAGGAGACATGGAGAGGAGACATGGGAGAGGACACATGGGAGAGGAGACATGGGAGAGGAGACATGGGAGAGGAGACATGAGAGGAGAGGAGACATGGGAGAGGAGACATGGAGAGGAGACATGGGAGAGGAGACAGGGAGAGGAGACATGCGGGAGGAGACAT